ACTGATTGCATTTGTTAGGTCTTTGCCTAACCCTCTTACAATTGTGTCTTAATTTTTCACTATAATTTTTAAAAACCTCTTCAGTTTATTGGTTGATTGTTAGTTAGTACTGTGTTACCCCTATATGTTAAGCACTTGCTTTTATAGATCTAACAGGTATAAAATATTCTTTTCTGTGGAGATCTTAGAGTTTTACATGAGTGCATAATTGATGGTTAAGAGTAAGTGCCAAGTGGACAACAGCTGTTAAACTGTTAACAGTCGTTAGGCTCAGCGCCTGTAGCCCAGTAGAGCTGAGTGGATTCGAATCCAGCCTGGGCCTGCCAAACAACAGTGACAGCTACAACCAAAAAATAGCCGGGTGTTGTGTCAGATGCCTATAGTCCCAGCTACTTGGGAGGCTGAGGCAAGAGAATCACTTAAGCCCAAGAGTTTGAGGTTGCTGTGAGCTATGATGTCGTGGCACACTACCCAGGGTGACAGCTTGAGACTGTCTCAAAAAAAAGGGAAAAGATCTGTTAAACTGTTATCAACAAATGATAAACATGGATTGAAGTGGTTGAAGTAAGATATGGGTCTTGAATGAAAAGTAGGCAGGTATAGAATAAAAAATATTTTAGACTGAGGGCATACTGTGAGGAAAGGCATTAGAGTAGAAATCTGGATAATGGGTTTGATTTAAAAAAATCTTTCTTGATAGATGGTTTTTCATTAGAGCAGTCAAGTGACTAGAGATCAGACTGGAGGTGTAGATTGTGGTTTGTGATGGATTTGGATGTTAGCTTTGTCAGTTAATCTGTGCCTGTAATTTGTGAGAACTAATACTTAGGAGCAAGCAGATGATACATTCAAAAGTGTACATTTAATGTATACTTCATACATTATGAAGTTCAGTATGACATGTGAATGGAAAGTGGAAGATGGAAGGAAGCCATTACCATAGTTCATGGGTGGAAAAAGAAATAAAGAAACTCACGTGTTTGAGTACTATATGCCCCCTGCTCTGCTCTGCAGGTGTTGGGAGTTTCATTTGGAATGGAATAGAACAAATTCTCCAAGGCATATAATGTAAACCAAGAGCAGTTAACTGTGTGTAGAATTGTGGGTCAAGTCTACATTTAGAGGGTATAGCAGGAAGTACATCAGTCAAAGGCAGAGGAAGGAAACAGAGGGGCACCTGAAAGGCTAGTGGAAGTGAGAATATCCTCTATCAGATGTTCAGTGAGAGAATGAATAGATTACTTTGCTTAAACTTTTAAAATACAGTATTACATTCAGACAAATGCACACATTACAGTGGTAGAGCTTGATGAATTTTTTACACTGTCAACATTTTACCACAGGCTTTACCAGTACCTCAGAAGCCTCCCTCATGCCCTCTACCACTGATTGATTAAACAGTTCAAAGGAGACCATTGTTGTTTTTTTTTTTGAGACAGAGCCTCAAGCTGTCCCCTTGGGTAGAGTGCTGTGGCATCTCAGCTCACAGCAACCTCCAACTCCTGGGCTCAAGTGAATCTCCTGCCTCCACCTCCCAAGTAGCTGGGACCACAGGCGCCCACCACAACACTCGGCTATTTTTTGGTTACAGCCGTCATTGTTGTTGTGGCGGGCCTGGGCTGGATTTGAACCC